AAAATAAAAACCCAGAGCGCGTTGGCCAGGAACTTGGGCACTGTGGTTGTTCCCACACCGAGCCCAGAGGCTCAGAGAATTGGCTTTGGTGCTGAGTGCATGTTTCCTGCCACCCCTGTACCTGCCAGCCATGATCTTTGAGCAGTGACTCACTGCCTGTGCCTCAGTGTCCTTATTGAAGGGAGTAAATAGTCCCTATGAAATAGCACTGCTTCAAGGGTTAATGAGTTAAATGAAACACCAAGTGCTTTCAACAGGATATGGCCCCCGGTTAGCATGCAGATGGTAGCTGTCCCTTTCCCAGGGATCATGCTTTGGACAGGCCATCATTAGGGAAACAGATTGGGCAGCACCGAGTCCTCGCCCTCCCCCAGCGGAGTCTGCAAGCTGTTTCCCTGGATCTCGAGGCCATCGGCTTGACTAATCAGGGGTCTGGTCCGCCCAGTGGAGTCAGACTCTCACTGCCCATCATGAAAAATGTGTGTTGCTAGAAGCTTGGAGTGAATACATCTTACTGCCACTGAAAGTGCTCATTAGTTAAAAGAATCTTAAGGTGAAACTTAGCCTATTTAAATGGGGGGATGAGTCATGGAGATGAACCAAGTAAATGCATGAGAAAGTGTTTGGGAAAACGAAAACTCATTATGCAAACCTGCATAATGTTGCCCTAAGAACCCAAGCGCAGTACAAACAAATCTCACACCTGATGTTGCCATCAGCATGTATGAGTGGATGCGTATAGCGTGGTATAAACTCAGCTGGCGAGTCTGATTCCTGTTGTTTTCTTCCTGTCTCCCCCTACCTGCCCCCAGGTGGCATGAAGCCCAACACGTTGGTCCTGGGTTTCTACGATGATGCTGTACCCCAGGATCACTTCCTGACAGACCCGGCTTTTTCTGAGCCTGCTAATGGTACCCAGGAGGGCGGGTCCCCAGCCCTGAGTACCCTGTTCCCTCCACCCCGGGCTCCTGGGAGCCCCCGAGCTCTAAGTCCTCAGGACTACGTGGCCACAGTGGTAGACGCCCTCAAGATGAACAAGAACGTGGTTCTGGCAAGAGCCTGTGGGGCCCTGCCCCCTGAGCGTCTGAGCCGGGGGTCCGGCAGTACCTCTCAGCAGCATCATGTGGATGTGTGGCCCCTCAACCTGCTGCGGCCTCGGGGTGGCCCTGGCTACGTGGACGTCTGTGGCCTCTTCCTGCTGCAGATGGCAACCATCTTGGGCATGGTACCTGCTTGGCACAGTGCCCGGCTCCGGATCTTCCTGTGCCTTGGGCCTCAAGAGGCCCCTGGGGCTGCTGAGGGGCGTCTCCGGGCCCTGCTGAGCCAGCTGAGGATCCGGGCTGAGGTGCAGGAGGTGGTGTGGGGTGACGGGGCTGGGTCCGGACAGCCCGAGGAGGAGGAGGAAGGGGACTTTGTGAACAGCAGGCGGGGAGACTCCGAGGCAGAGGCCCTGGCCTGCAGCGCCAATTGCCTGGTTCGGGCCCAGCAAGGGCGCGGCAGAGGAGGGCCCGGTGGGCCTGAGGGTGGGGATGGTGAGGAGGGGCCCACCACCGCTCTCACCTTCCTGTACTTGCCACGGCCACCTGCTGATCCTGCCCGATACCCCCACTACCTGGCACTGCTGGAGATTCTGAGCCGGGATCTGGGCCCCACGCTGCTCATTCATGGTGTCACCCCTGTCACTTGCACTGATCTCTGATGCCTTGTTGCTGAAGTAGAGCGTCCCGGCTGGCAGCCCACCTTCATAGCAGATGAGGAGGGAAGGGCTGCCTCCTGCCTGCCCTGAACATGGGACACATGGCCAGGGGGAGGTATTAGGGGGTCCTGGGCTAGGGCGGCTCTAGATCTCTAGGAGCGGGGCCCTGATGCACTAATTAATGCAGGGCGGCCCTCCCTGCCCAGCCAGAGGAGGGAGTCAGCTCTGCCCCCTCCTTCCCCTCACCGGTGCCTTGATGGGGGCTAGGTCTCTGCTTGAGACTCTAGGCTACCTCAGTCTCCCCCTCACCCGACAGACTCACTGACCCCGAGGTTGTGATGTTTTTGTTCTGTTTTATTTTTCTAACTGCTGAACCGAATAAAAGACCTAAACACTACTGTGGCTCAACACTGCTGGTGGGGGTGGGGGTGGGGGTTGGGTAGGGGGACAGGAAGAGGGAGAGGTCTGTATGGCCGGGATGGGGGAGAGAGGAGCGCTGGGGTGTCCCAGGGGCCAGGAGGCCACGTGCAGGGCTGGCGGAGGCAGCTGGGGGAGGCTCATGGCCATGGAGGCCGCCCGCAGCCCCCAGACTGGGGCTCCGCGGAAAGCCCTGCCTCCTGGGCAGCAGGGGGCCGGCTCCGGCGGAGGAGAGAGGGGTAAGGGGGGGAGAGGGACGCCCTTTAGAGCCCGGGGGGGCCACGTGACCCTCCCCCAGGAATGCGCTCGCGTCACCGGGGGCGTGGCCTTCCCTCCAATTAGGGAGGAAGGGGGGTGAGAAAGCCCGAAAAAGTTTCTTTCCCGGAGTCCCAAACGGGGTGTGTGACGGAAGGAGGGAGACGGGCCGGAGGCCCGGGGCTCCGTGGGACCCTGATCGCCGTGCGCAGCCCCCGCTCCAGACCATGTCGGGGCCCACCTGGCTCCCCCCGAGACAGCCAGAGCCCCCCCGAGCCCCTCAGAGACGAGCTCTCCCCCGAGACGCGCCAGAGCCGCCGCCAGCCCACGAGAGCGGGTAAGGCAGCCGCGAGGCACCGCGCGAGCCGGCTCCTGCCGCCCTTCCCCACGCGGGGCTGGGACCAGGGACCAGGGACCCCTGCCCTCGCGGCGGCCGTCCGGTCCCGCTCTCCGACCCCGGGTGTGGGTGGGTGGGAGGAGGAGAGGGACCGAGAGGGCACCTCCACCAGTGTCACCTCGGCCCCTTCCCCATCTCCATCTTCACTCTGCTTTAACTCATCCCAGCGCTCCAGCCCCACCCCAGGGTCAGTTTTTGCCCCGTCCCGGCCGAGCAGTGTTACCAGGCCCCCGGGGGATTGGAGGATCGGGGGCCGGCCTGGGTGGGGTGCCGTGGAGCACCCCCGCGCTCGCAGGTAAGAACCAGATTTTGGGGGGGGGGGTGCATAGCACCCTGGGCAGGAGAGGAGGCCATGTGATTTGCATTCTCCCTGCTTTTGCTCTATCCCCAGGGACTCCCCCCAGACCGGGGCCGGCTGCACCCAGGAAGTCTGGATGCTGAGATAGATTCCCTCACCAACATGTTGGCCGAGCTGGATGGGGGTCGAGGCCATGCCCCACGACGGCCTGACCGGCAGGGGACCCCCCTGTCCCTTCTCCCTGGCCCCTTTCCCTCACCCCAATCTCTTTTCTTCCCTGAACGCCAGCAATCATACTTCCGGGCCTTCTCTTATGTAAGTGATGCACACACCCACTCAGGAGCTGGGCCACCAGAGCTCAGTGGGTTGTCAGCCACTCAAGGGTGGGCCCTTGTCAGAAACCAGCCCTTCCCTGGGTGACACACACATGGGTGGGGGTGGGCTTCCACAGATGCGTGTCCTATAACGGCCTGCTCACTCCTTTTGGTCTGCATTTCTCCCCAGGTCTATGAGCCCCCTCAGCCCCCTGCCTACCGCCCTGGCTCAGGCTCCCTGAAGCTGAATGGAGGGGGTGTTCCTCCCCCGCTGCTCCCAGCATCCCCCTATGGGGGCCCCACTCCAGCCTCCTATGCCACAGCCAGCACTCCTGCTGGCCCTGCCTTTCCTGTGCAAGTGAAGGTGGCACAGCCAGTGAGAGGCTGTGGCCCTCCAAGGGGGGGACCCTCTCAGGCCTCAGGGCCCCTGCTGGGCCCCCACTTTCCTCTCCCAGGCCGAGGCGAAGTCTGGGGGGCTGGCTATAGGGGCCACCGAGAGCCAGGGCTTGGGAGTAAAGAGGAGGTCGCTGGGAGCTCCAGTCCTCTAGGAGGAGGAAGAGGAAGTGGGTACGGGCACCAGGTAAGCCCAGGGGAATGGGATTGGAAGTCCTCAGACAACTGGACGCTGATTGGGTCGGGTGGGGATGGTGTTCTAAGCCCTGGTTGTCAGGGACGGGGAGTGTCAGAGCTCCGCACCTCCCCTCCTCCCCCTAGGGGTGTGGGGCAGGTCTGGAACTGTAGGAGGGAGGGGACCCGAGTCACACACTAGCTTTTCAAGTCATGCCCTTGGACCCTGAGATGTTCTCCAGTGAGCTTTCTGGGTGGCATTTCCTGGTCACCCACAGGTATTTTGACAGCATTGAAAGCTAGAGGTAGTGCCACCAACTCCTGATTCTCAACTCCCAGGGTCCCCTGAGCCAGCCTCCTGAGGAGGAGCTCGAGAGACTGACCAAGAAGCTGGTGCATGACATGAGCCACCCGCCCAATGGGGAGTACTTCGGTGAGCGGAGTCTGAGGATGGGTGGACAGGGTGGGGGACTGGAGGGTCAGAGGGACACCAGCTCTGGCTTCCTGGCCTCTGCCGGTTGACCCTGTCCCTCCCTGTCCCCAGGCCGATGTGGGGGCTGTGGAGAAGATGTGGTCGGGGATGGGGCCGGGGTTGTCGCCCTGGACCGCGTCTTCCACGTTGGCTGCTTTGTGTGTTCTACGTGCCGTGCCCAGCTTCGGGGCCAACATTTCTATGCCGTGGAGAGGAGGGCGTATTGTGAGAGCTGCTATGTGGTGAGTGGTTGGGACTGGGGGCTGGAATCAGCAGAAGAGGCAGGGGCTGCCATCCAAGGTGGAAACCAGATGTCCATGAGGAACAGGGCTCACGGTGGGGGACTGAAACTGATAGACAAGAAGGGAGAAATTAGGCAGCTAAATAGTGGCTGCTGAAGGGGAAGGACAGAAGCCCCTTACAAATGTGAGGCATTTATTTTAGCGTTAAGGGAGTGTGTTGACCACAGCACACTGTAAGGCATATATTGAAGGGAACTGAAGCTCAGAGAGGCTACTTAACTTGTCCCAAAAGTTGCAGTGATGAGTTTTGCACTCAGATCTGTTCAAAGCCACCTTTCGCTAAATCACAGGCAGGGGGCTAAACAGATGGGTGGGCTGGCAGGGTGCCTGTAGGGCTGCCGTGGTCCTCCACAGACCCCCACCTTCCTGCCCTCCTTCCCAACAGGCCACCTTGGAGAAGTGCTCCACATGCTCTCAACCCATCCTGGACCGGATCCTTCGGGCTATGGGGAAGGCTTACCACCCTGGCTGCTTCACCTGTGTGGTGTGCCACCGTGGACTTGATGGCATTCCGTTCACGGTGGATGCCACCAGCCAGATCCACTGCATTGAGGACTTCCACAGGTCAGGCTAGATCCCCCGCCTTTGTCTCAGGATGTCTGCCTTTCCTGTCTTTCTCATTTCTTCATGTCCCAGTACCAGCCCCTTCTGTTTCCCACCCTTGCCATGCCTTGTTCTGGTTAACATGGCTTTCTTCCCCAAGATCCAAGACCTTACCTCTGGCCTGTCCTCTTCTCTCCTGCATCCCACCTTCCCTGGGCTCCGTTGTTAGTCTCCTCCAACCCTGGGGCTTGACAACCCCCTCGGCTCTCTTGTACCCCAGGAAGTTTGCTCCACGATGTTCAGTGTGTGGCGGGGCCATCATGCCTGAGCCAGGTCAGGAGGAGACTGTGCGAATTGTTGCTCTGGATCGCAGTTTTCACATCGGCTGTTACAAGTGTGAGGTGAGGGGGCCTGGCCCAGGGGAAAAGGAGTTCTTGGGGTCTGGGCTCGCTGGGTATAGTAGGACCCAGAGGTCTTGGCCCAGTGGAAAGCTGTTGCTTCTTTCTTAACAGGAGTGTGGGTTGCTGCTGTCCTCTGAGGGTGAATGTCAGGGCTGCTACCCCCTTGATGGGCACATCCTGTGCAAGGCCTGCAGTGCCTGGCGTATCCAGGAGCTCTCAGCCACCGTCACCACTGACTGCTGAGTCTTCCCAGAAGCACCTGCTGCATTCTCCCTTCCCATCTACCACCTTCCTTGACATCTACTTTTACAACTCTGCCACCAAGTACTGTCTCCTCTTCCTCCAACCATGAAATAATAATCTCTCAAGAGTTTACAAGACACTTTCAAGTCTATTGTCTCATCTGATTCTCACAGCAGCCCAACGAGGCCTAATTGTTGTGACTGTCTGCATTTTTAGCTGAGAAGTGACTTCCCCAGACTGCATGGTTCCCAAGTGGCAGAATCTAGGTCTTCTAAGCTCTGGTCCAATTTAAAAAAATGTTTTTATTGATTTTAGTGAGGAAGGGATAGGTATGGAGAGGTAGAAACATCGATGGGCTGCCTCTTGCACGCCACCTACTGGGGATTGAGCCTGAAACCTGGGCATGTGCCCTGACCAGGAATCCAGCCAGTGACCTCTGGGTTCATGGGTTGACACTCAACCACTGAGCCACACTGGCCGGGCCCTGGTCCAATTTTTTGCAACTTTGCTACAGTCAGCCCTCTATATCCCTGGGTTCAATCAACTGAGGATAGAAACTATTCAGAAAAAAAGTTACATTTAGCCTGGTTGGTGTACCTATGAATCAGGAGGTCATGGTTCGATTCCCAGTCAGGGTACATGCCCCGGTTGCAGGCTCGATCCCCAGTGAGGGTATACAGGAGGCAACCAATCAATGATTCTCTCTCATCATTGATGTTTCTATCTCTCCCTCTTCCTTCCTCTCTGAAATCAATAAAATATATTTTTAAAAATAGTTACATTTAGCTAATATGTACTCTGTGGTTAGGGCTACCATGGTTGCATCTGGTACTGAACATGTAGAGTTTTTTCCCTTGTTATTATTCCCTAAACAGTACAGTATAAAAACTATATACATAGCATTTACATTGTATTAGGCATTATATGTAATCTAGAGATGACTTAATGTATATAGAAGGATGTGTACAGGTTATATGCAAATACTATGCCATTTCATATAAGGGACTTAAGCATCTGAAGATTTTGGTACCCCAGGGGTCCTGAAATCGATTCCCTGAAGATACCAAGGTATACCAATGGATGACTGAATACACTTAAAAAAAAAATTGATTTCCAAGAGAGGAAGGGAGAGGGAGAGAGAGAAATATCAATGATGAGAGAATCATTGATCGGCTCCCTTCTGCACACCCTACACCGGGGATCGAACCCACAACCCAGGCATGTGCCCTAACCGGGGATCGAACTGTGAACTCCTGGTTCATAGGTCGACGCTCAACCACTGAGCCACGTAGGCTGGGCTGTATACACTCTTTTAAATGTAGTTTGCTGTAAAGACACCCCTCCTCTCAGTGCTGGGAGTAAGGCAGCATTTCCTATGAAATCTTCACACTCACTGAACAACCCACTGACTAGATCAGTGGTTCTCAACCTTCCTAATGCCACGACCCTTTAATACAGTTCCTCATGTTGTGGTGACCCCCAATTTCATTGTTACAAATTGAACATAATTAAAGCATAGTGATTAATCACAAAAACAATATGTAATTTAGGCGACCCCTGTGAAAGGGTCGTTCGACCCCCAAGGGGGTCGCGACCCACAGGTTGAGAACCGCTGGACTAGATGTTACCCCCTGGGGCTGTGGTCGGCAAACTGTGGCTGGCGAGCCACATACGGCTCTTTGGCCCCTTGAGTGTGGCTCTTCCTAAGCCTTAGGAGTACCCTAATTAAGTTAATAACAATGTACCTACCTATATAGTTTAAGTTTAAAAAATTTGGCTCTCAAAAGAAATTTCAATCGTTGTACTGTTGATATTTGGCTCTGCTGACTGAGTTTGCCGACCACTGCCCTGGGGTGATAGTGCATTTACTCTGGGGCCAGCTAGATAACGCCTGTTGATCAAGATCTCAACCTACAACCTCTGTCATCAAAGTACTGGTTGGGGATGAGACTGAGATTTGACAGTATTACTTACAAACGGGGGCACCTCTGCCGAAGAAGAGTAAGAATAATGAGTTTTGCAGGTACGGCATACTAGGCACCAATAAACGCTGGTTCTCAGGTGGGAACACAAAATGGTGGGAAATGCTTAAAATGGTCGCTCTACCCCGCTAAACGCCCGCACTCCTCAAGCCCCTGCCCCACGCGAGGAGATTGGGGAACAACCCCGATGAGGTCTTGAAATATCCCGAGCAAAGCGGTGGCGGCTAATGCCTACGGTCCAGAACCAGACACTTCCGGGTGAGTGCGACCTTCGACCTCGGCCTAAGGAAGCGCTCCTTCACGCCCAGAGGACTCTACCGCCCTCCCCAGGCTAAGCTTGGCCCAGCCCAGCCTCCGTAGTTCCTCACAGTCGCGCAGTTCCCGCCCCAGAAATATCGCGAGCTTTCTGAGTTCCCCGTACCTTCCCATCATCCCCCTGTGCTCCCGGCCTTTCCCTCTTTGGTTTAGTTCCAGTTAGGGCCGCTCGGGTAGTAGTTTGTAGTTCGAGGTGCAGTTCCGCGAGTGACGCAGGCGCTGCGCGAGCGGCGCGCGCCGACCGCTCATCCTCGACTGCCCCGCTCTCATCGCGTCTCCTCGGCCCCGTAGCTGAGAGCCCGAATCTCCCTCTCACCCTCTTCCCGGTCCTCACCGCGCGCCCGAGGCAAGGGGCGGGCCCAGGTCTCCCAAAGAACCAGTACGTCGGAGTGCGAGACTAACGGTCGCGACCCTCCCAGGTGGGGGATGGGAGGGGCCTGGGAGCCGGGGCTGAGGCAGGAGGGAGGGACAGGCGCCCAGAGCCGATGGCGGGGTGGGGAGGGTGGGCGGGGGAGTGGAGTGTGGGGGCGGTCCGCCCGCCGGGGAAGAAGACAGGATGGCGGGGACCGCAGACGGCGGCAATTGCGGGAAGAGGCGGGTGTGCTGCTCCAGAGGGGCGAGCCTTTCCTCTTCTCGTCGTTGTCCAACACCCTGAGCACCCTTGTCTGGGCCCCAGGCCCCCTTTGACGGCGCCATGGGTGACAGTGATGACGAGTACGACCGAAGACGCAGGGACAAGTTCAGGAGAGAGCGCAGCGACTATGACCGTTCGCGGGAGAGAGATGAGAGACGCCGAGGGGACGACTGGAATGACCGGTAAGACCCTTTCCCCCAGTTTTGTCCTCCGGCTCATTCTGCTGCACTCCACCCTCATTGCCTTTCCTTTTTCATTTGAGGAGGGCAAACTGAAATCGTTCATACTTGATTGTTTCATGTGGTTCGTTAAACCTAGTTGCTATTGGCCAAAGATTATTGAAATATCCAGAAGATCAAAGCAATAGGACTAAGAGAGTTTGAGTATGGAAAAGCAATCTTTATAAATGTACTTGAAACGTGTGCATGTTACTGTGTGTAAATTATACTTCAGAAAGGTTGGTTCAGACAAAGTAGCATAGAGTCGATGTGAGTGGCGAGGTGGTCGGACCAGTTCCCTGGCAGGAGATGATTACATTTCTGTGGTTGTCCTGCCTAAAGTCAGAAAGGTCTTTGGACAGTGATGGTTGAGTTCGACTGTGATGGGACTAGGTCTGATTCGCCAGTGATTAGCTTTCTGGGATATTCTTGAGTTAATGATAGGTCGGGTGGCTTTCATTAAGAAACATGTGATGTGATTTCAAAAAAAAAATCAAGATTAAGAGAAACTGTGGAAGATTTTGTTTTTTAAATATAAGAGGTGTCACCAATATCTAATAGCTGATGGCAGTGGCTCCATTTGGAAACATTACCAGAAAAAAAGTTTTTGCTGACTTACTGTGATAACAAATCATTCGGTCTGTAAGTCGGAGTGTCTCTCTTCACTGTAGAGACTCTGGCACTTTGTTTTCTTTGGTTATTTTCTTTTTTTTTATATACTTTATTGATTTTTTACAGAGAGGAAGGGAGAGGGATAGAGAGCCAGAAACATCGATGAGAGAAACATCGATCAGCTGCCTCCTGCACGCCCCCTACTGGGGATGTGCCCGCAACCAAGGTACATGCCCCTGATCGGAATCGAACCCGGGACCCTTCAGTCCGCAGGCCGATGCTCTATCCACTGAGCCAAACTGGTCAGGGCATCTTTGGTTATTTTCTAAGAAAGAAGGAAAGGTGTTCTGGATTTTGAAGATGAATAAGATGTAGTTTTTTAATTTATTTTTTATTTACCTTAAATATGGTTGTAAAAAGTTGATTTTCAGAGAGAGAGAGGAAGGGAGAGGGATAGAAAGAAACATTTATGAGAGAGGAACATCATGGCTGCCTCCTGCACACACCCTTACTGGGGATCCAACCCGGGGTCTTCTTGGTTCCCGGGTCAACGCTCAACTGCAGAGCACACTGGCCTTTATTGCCCTTCAGGAGCTTACAGTCTTGGGGGGCAAAATGTTCTGGGGTGTATGCTACAAATGAGTACGTATGAGAGATCATCATAAAGATGGCAGCGGTTGAAGGAGCATCTTTTAAGGGAGGGGAACAGTGGTGGAGGTGGTGTATTGGGGAGAGCTACGGGAAAGTAATGCTTATAGCAAGACTTGGGGAGATGAGTGCGAATTCCCCAGACATTGGTAGTGTGAACAGCTTTGAGTTGTGGATATAATGGGTGCAGAAAAGAGCAGATATTCTAGAGTAGTGGTTCTCAAAATCCACGTGGTCCACAGACTCTAGGGTGTGTGTGAGATTAATTACAACTATTTTTATAGTGCCGTAGTATTGTTGTTTTCACTGCACAGTGACATTTGCACTGCTGGTGCTATAGCAATGGTAGGTAAGACTGCTGGTGCCTTAGCACAAATCAAGGCAGTGGCATCAAACAAAAACAAACAAACAAACAAATGAACAAAATAAATAAACCAAACCACTTACACTTAATGTCCTTGATGAAGCAGTAAAACTTTTATTAAATTGGATTCTTGCATTTACATTTTTTTAATACACATGACAAATGGGAAGTATGCATATAGGAGTAAAGTGGTTATCTTGAGGAAGAGCATTGTGGGATTAAACTGAGCTGAATAACAGGTTTTTTTAAAATGTATTTTTATTGATTTCAGAGAGGGAGAGAGAGGGAGAGAGAGATAGAAACATCAATGATGAGAGAGAATCATTGATCGGCTGCCTCCTGCACTCCCCCAACCAGGGATCGAGT